AGATTCTCCAGCATCTGCAGTTCCTACTATCTCTCACCAGGCTATAGTTCCCTTGCTTTTCCTTAACAACTTTCTTACATAGCAGCATCATGTAGCCAACCTCCAGTCTTCCAGCACTTCAACTGTGGCGAAATACAAATATCTCAGTAAAAGGCCCAGCAAATCACGTCTAGCTTCCCACAGAGTTCTACGGTACATCTGATCAGGTGCCAGGGATCTATCCACCTTTGTGAGTTATCTACCTTTATCCACCTCTTCCATATCCTTCTCCACTGTAAACACTAATGCAAAATACTTGTTTAGTATCTCCCCATCTCCTGTGGTTCTACACATAGGCAGCCTTGCTGCTCTTTAAGGGGCCCTATTCTCTCCCTGGTTACCCTTTTGTCCTTAACGTATTTGTAGAATCCCTTTGGATTCTCATTTACCCTATTTGTCAAAGCTATCTCATGTCCCCTTTTTGCTCTCCTGATTTCCCTCTTAAGTATAATCCTACTGCCTTTATACTCTTCTGGAGATTCATTCAATCTCTGCTACCTATACCCGATGTATGCTTCCTCCTTATTCGAAACTAAAGCCTCAATTTCTCTAGACATCCAGTATTCCCTACACCTACCAGCCTTGCCCTTCACCCTACCAGGTCCATATGGTTTCTGAACTCGTTACCTCATTTTTGAAGGCTTCCCATTTTCCATCCATCCCTTTACCCGAGAACAGCCGCCCCAGTCAACTTTTGAAAGTTCTTGCCTAATGCTGTCAAAATTAGCCTTCCTCCAACTTAGGACTCTAGCTTTTAGATCCGGCCTATCCTTTTCCATCACTATTTTAAAACTAATAGAATTATGGTCACTGGCCCCAAAGTGCTCCCCCACTGACACCTCAGTCACCTGTCCTGCCTTATTTCCCAAGAGTAGGTCAAGTTTTGCAACTTCTCTAGTAGGTCCATCCACATACTGAATCAGAAAATTTTCTTAAGCACACTTAATGCATTTCTTTCCATCCAAGCCGTAAATGCTATGGCAGTCCTGGTCTATGTTTGGAAAGTTAAAATCTCCTACCATAACCACCTTATTCTTACAGATAACTGAGACCTCCTTACAAATTTATTTCTCAATTTCCCGCTGACTACTGGGGGGTCTATATTACGATCCCAACAAGGTGATCATCCCTTTCTTATTTCTCAGTTCCAGCCAAATAACTTCCCTGGATGTATTCCCAGGAGTATCCTCCCCAAGTACAGCCATAACGATATCCCTAATCAAAAACGCCACTCACCCTTCTCTCTTGCCCCCCTGTCTATCCTTCCTACAGCATCTACACCTGGGGTTTGTTGAATGTCAGCTCTTGTCTGGCCCAAGAATGTTTGGCCAAACAAACAATATTAAAACTAATAATAAGAATAATTCAAAGCATAAAAAATTTCCACACCAGTCCAGGCCACTGCACATCATCTGCAGTTCCTCTTGGAGATTTCCTTTCAGCCAAAACTAACTGGTGCTCAATCAGGAAGACCCTGAGCTCCTCATCATGGAGTTTCATCCACCGACACCAGCTTTCGTCGAATTCTAGAAAGACCTGCAGTGGGGTAGGAGACAGAAGAATAAATGAATATAACCAAATGTCTCTCCTTTATCTAAAACATCTGGACTGATTTGAAAGTAGAACTGACAAGGTGCTACAGCTTAGAAGCCTTACCAGTTACCTGAAAATTCTCACTTCCAAAAAGTGTGATGAGAGAAACAAAGCAAAATATAACTTACACATTAATAGCCAAGCATCTGCTGTGCTGTGTTAATTCAATCTTATCACAATTACAGAGGGAGTGCAGAGAGTCCATGTGATGCTGGGACTGTCTTATGAGCAAATATTGGGGAAGGTGGAATTGGTACTTTCCAGTTTCGGAAGAATGAGGTGTGATCTCATTGACACTTACAAAATTCTTACAAAGTAGGTTAGGTTAGATGTCAATCACTTGTATTCCCCAGCTGATGAGTCTTGAGGGGAGATAATCTCAGGAGAAGGGGTATTCACTTAGAGGGTGCTGAATCTTTAGAATTCTCTCCGTGTCTGCGTGGGTTTCCTCCAAGCGCTCCGGTTTCCTCCCACAGTCCAAAGATGTGCAGGTTAGGTGGATTGGCCATGCTAAATTGCCCATAGTGTTCAGAGTGGTTTACAGGGGGATGCTCTGAGGTTTGGTGTGGACTTGTCGGGGCCAAAGGGCCTATTTCCACACTGTAGGGATTCTATGATTCGAAGATCTCTGCATTTTTTGTTTTCAGTTCAGATTCCAGCAGCTGCAGTAATTTGCTCTCCTCAAGAATCTTGTATGTTTCATTGCCACCTCTCATTCTTCTGAACTGAAATAGTACAGGCACAATCCAGTCAACCTCTCCTCCCAGTTCAGTCCTTCCATACGTGGAAACAGCCGAGTGATCTTTCTCTGGACTGCTTTTAATGTCATTGTATCTTTGCTGAGGAAAAGGTATCCAAAATAGTTCAGTATTCCAGCTGTGGGCTGACAAGTGTTTTTTATAGCTTAAACAAAACCTCCATACTTCTACATTTCATTCCCAACTAAGCCAACATTCCACTGGCCTTTCCTATTACCCCCTGAAGCTGGATGCTGGCTTTTTGGGATTCATACATGAGAATTCCCAAATCCCTCATTCTGTAGCTTTCTGAAGAGTTTCTCCATATAAAAGTTTTTCAACTCCTGTATTACTCCAAACAAAGTGCATAGCTGCTTATTTTCCATCTGCCAAGATTCTGCTCGCTCACTTAACCTCTCTATATCCCTTTGCAGTGTCATCTTCACCACTTGCCTTCCCACCTGATTTTTTGTGTGTCACCCAGAATTTGGCTATCATATTTATTTTCCTCATCCAGGTCATTAATACGTATCATGAATAACTATGGGCACAGCACTGATCCCTGTGGCAGTCCACTATTTACAGTGGGTGCAATCCTGCCTATAGTTAGCTGCTTCCTTTATCTTCTTCCTTTATTATAGAAAGGTGTTACATTTCCAGTCTTACAGCTAGAGGACCCATTATCTTCGTGAGTACAGCCATTAATGTCTTAGGATGCATCCCATCAGGTCAAGGAGCCTTTATCGATCTTTAGCCTCATTCGCTTTCCTAGTACATTTTTATCAGTGACAGTTATTGTTTTTATTTCCTCTCCGCAGTTACCCTTAATTATTTAGTAAATTTGGAATACTATTAATGTCTTCTGCTGTGAAGGCTGATGCAAAGCATTTACATATTCAACTCCTCCCTCCCACTTTGACTTTGATACACAAAATTCCTTTTTACATATTTAAAGAAGCCCTTTCCGTCCATCTTGATATTACTTGCAAACCTACCCTCAAAGTTAACTTTTTTCCTCATTCTATTTCTGGCCAGCTCTTGTTGGCTTCCTAAACTTTTCCTGTCCTCTGGCTTACCACTAATCTTCACCGCATCACCCTTGTCGTTTCCTGATGCTCATGATAATTTCTCCCATGTCATTCACACTATTATCTCTCCCCCTCCCATCAATACAGTTACAATGATCAATTATGTTTGCCTTTTAATTTTTTGGAGGTGAACAGGGGGAAAATTGCTACTCCTTTCTGTACTGACTGGAATTATGAACTTCCTTGTTTGCAACTACCAAGACCACAGAGAAAATTAAACTATCCGTCACTCAAGAGTCCTTGCCTTCAAAAGGAATCAGAATTAGTTTCTTTCTTTCATGCTACTTTTCTCCTTTTCACGTTAATGAAGCTGTTCCCTGCTCATTTACTCCCATGCAACGTTTTCTCTCAAAAACTGTTGTTATCCTTTTAATTTTTTTCAGAAAAAGTGCTCCTCAGCACGTTTTCTTCCTTTGGCTTTTTGTTACAAAACGTAGAAGGATCACTCTCCTAACAGCATTGATTTAATTTAAGTTGCTAGTTTCCAGCTGCTTTGCTCTGGTTAACACCCTAAAAATCAATATAAAATGCACGGCACTAATACTCTCGGGGTCAAGAGTGGTTCCCTCTGCTGTTGGCTTGATACTACATTAGTTACTGAGATCAGGTACATTCAGTGAACAATAACTGAGCTACTATCTAGTTTACTCTCCCTTTCCATGCCCATATCAGTGAAACGTTTACACGACATCAAATAAACTAACGAGGACCCAAGCAAGCCGGTAAACTGTGGACTAAATTCATAACGGGAAGCGCAAAACACAGCAACGGACACCAGCGGGGAAAGGGAAGAAGTTACATTATGCAGCAAACACAGGACATTTCTCCAAAAAGAAAGTCACAACCGATTGATTCAATTACCGCATTTCACCAAATCAGCTCGAATTCACCAACCATGCTTCTTAACCTATGCTACTCTCCCTACTTTCCCCCAAACGTGGATCGAGTTGATCATTGATAAAACTTTTCTTTAAAAAAAACCACATGTACTTTCCTCAGTGGACAATTTTCCCAGTGGAAATAAAACGTTTGACGATTTCAACCCCTGCCGCGTCCATCTCCTGGCCGCAAGTGGAGCGCCAGATTTTGCACTTACCAAGAAATTTGGGTGCGAAGGATCTTTGTGGGAGACGGCTCTGATGATGCCCGCCTTCCAGTCCCATTCAGACACTCGCCCGAGTTGGAGCTCCTGGTTGAAGCCGCTTAGGATGCAGAGGAAGCGCTTTCCCACGAGCTCCGATGGTGCAGCCTCTTGCTGCTGCTGCATCTCGAGCGGAGGCATGTCGCAGCTTTCCATCTTTAGAATGTTGGCCCGGACCCCGGGCTCCACGCGCCGCCACCCGCTACATCTACACGCCCGTGCCCCGCCGCGCGCACACAATCTAACAATGTAACGCCGCTCATCGGATACAACGAGGGCGGGACGGACCTCGAGCTCCTCCACTCCCGGCAATCCCCCTAACCTACCCTACCCCGGGCACATGTCAATCACTCAGAGCGAAATAGCTCGCGGGACGGGAGCAGATTCCCCATTCTAACGACCCCGACCCAGGAAAGTGGAGCCACCGGGCTTGCTCGCCACCGCCGGCTGCTGCTGCAAAAGCAAAAGATAACAGAAGCTATTGTGTCGCGCTTGCGGCCTGTGCGTGCTGACGGCGGGAGACATTGTTTTGGTGGGGAGTGAGCAGGTTCACACTCTACGTGCCGTTTCGTGCGTAGGCACCCTTATTTTGGGGGGGTTGGAGGTACGGGGGGCAGTGAAAACTGGAGAGCATCTACCTCCCTCTGCAGTTTACAGAGCACAGTGCAGCTGCTACACCGATGTACCATTGCAAACTACGCTCTTCGCCTCCTGAACATTACACTCGCACAAAACAGAAAAAAAAAGCAACGTGTTGCGGTTGGTAAAATCGGAAAAAGAAGCAGAAAGTGCTAAAGTACGCCTCCGGTTGGGTAGCGTCTGTGCAGAGATAAGAGTGGTCAGTAAGTTGCCATTCCTCATGACAAAAATGTCATTGCAAATACTTATGCACACGGAGTCTTTGAGAGCAATGGGATATTGAAATGCAAACTGATAGTCTTTATAACGTGTTTCGTTTCTTGCTATGAGACTTACCGCTGAGTGTTGTCACTCACCTCCGAGTCACAATATTCCGGGTTCGAGTCTCACGGCAGGACTCGAGCTCAAAAGTCCAGCAGGAAACTTTTCTCCTGTTTTCACGCAGAGGGTTATGAGTGTCTGGAACACTCTACCCGAAAGGGTGGTAGAGACGGGAACCATCATAACAATTAATTTGTATTCGGATGATTCCTTGAAGTGCCGAGCACACTTGACTATGGTTAAAGTGCTAGAAAACGGGATGGAGTGCTTGATGACTAGCGCAAGCATGATGAGGTGAAGAGCCTCTTTGTTGGGCCGAAGGGCCTGTTTCCACACTGTAGGGATTCTACGATAATGATTAACTCACTCAGTGTATATCAACTGACAGTGTTGGAGGGATCTCAACTCGTACCAAAGGACTGTGTGGCAGTGTCAATGTTAGAGGGGCCTCTTCAACCTGCCCAGCAGCTCATCAAGGAGGAGGACAATTCCAAAATGAAACCTGCATAACTTCAGCAACTCCACTTATGGCACACATTACACAAGCGTAGTATTAGCTGCCTTGAATGAGGGAATGGGAGGAGGCTCTCCCCTTGATGTTCGGTGGCATTACCTTCCTTAAACCCCACTATCAACATTTTGGGGTGATGACTGACCATAAAATTGACTGGACTAGCCATATAAATTCAGTGGCTAGAAATACAGTGGTCAGAGATCGGACATTACTGCAGCTAGTAACTCACATCCTGAAGATGTCCAACATCTACAAGGCAGGAGTGTGATGGAATATTCCTCACTTCCCTGGTTGATTGCAGCTCCAACTTAGAACAGTGGAGCACAGGATCAGGCCTTTTGTCCCAACATGCTTTTGCTGACTACGATGCCATTATAAACTAATCCCATCTGCCTGCACAATGTCTGTACCCCTCTGTTCTCTGCTTGCTTGTATGTCTGTTTAAATACCTCTTAAACATGGCTATCATATCTGCTTCTACCATCTCTCTCTTGGTAGCACATTCCAGGCATCAATCACTCTCCGCAGAAAAACCTTTCTTACACATCTTCTTTAAACTTTACTCTCTTCCCTGAAACCTATGTTTCCTAGTATTTGATATTTCCACCTTGGGAAAAAGACTGACTATCCACCCTAACGAAAACAATCCAAGTTTGGCCAACCTATCATAGCAAATACTCTCCAATCTGGGCAACATCCTGGTAAACCTCTTCTGCACCCTCTCTAAAGTCTCCATATCTTTCCTACAGTGTGGCAACTAGAACTGCACACAATACTTCAAATGTAGCCTAACTAAAGTTTTATGCAGCTGCAATAGGACTTGAAACAATTTGATCTTTTATTGGTTTACCACTAGACTATTAATTCAGAAACTCAGCTAATGTTCTGTGGACCCAGGTTCAAATCCCACCACAGGAAATGGTGGAATTTGAAATCAATAGAAAGAATCAGGAATTAAAGATGATGATGACCATGAAACAGTTGTCAATTATCAGAAAAAACTCATCTGGTTCAGTCATGTTCTTTACGGAAGGAAATCTGTCATCCTTACCTAGACTGCCCTACATGTGACTCCAGACCCATGGCAGAGTTGTTGACTCTTAACTGTCCTCCGGGCAATTAGAGATGGACAATAACTGTTGGTTTAGCCAGAGACACCCTCATCCCGTAAGTGAATTTTAAAAAATCCAGGACAAAGAAGCCCACTTGATTGATATTACATCCACTCCCTCAACGACCAAAGCTCACTAGCAGCAATGTGTATCATCTACAAACTATAATCATAGAGTCATTGAGTCTTACAGCATGGAAACAGACCCTTCAGCCCAAACTCGTCCATGCCGACCAGGTTTGCTAAACTGAACTAGTCCCATTTGCCTGAGCTTGACTGATATCCCTCTAAACCTTTCCTATCCATGCACTTGTCCAAATGTCTTTAAAATGTTGTAACTGTACTCACTTCAACCACTGTCTGGCAGTTCGTTCCATACGTGCACCACCCTCTGTGAAAAAAAGTCGCCCCTTGGGTCCCTTTTAAATCTTTCCTCTCTCACCTTAAACCTATGCCGACTAGTTTTGGACTCCCCTATCTTTGGGAAAAAAAACTTTTGCTATTCACCTTATCTATGCCCCTTGTGATTTTATAAACCTGTATAAGCTCACCCCTCAGCCTCCAATGCTCCAAAGAAAAGAAGTCCCAGCCTATCCAGCCTCTCCTTATAACTTGAATCCTGCAGATTCAGTAACATCCTTGTAATTTTTTTTTGCACACTGTACAGTTTAACAACACCCTTCTTATAGCAGGGTGACCAGAATTGTGCAGTACTTCAAATATGGCCTTGCCAATGTCTTGTACAGCCGTAAAATGACATCCCAATTCCTGTACTCGGTGCTCTGACCAACGAAGGCGAGTGTGCCAAACGCCTTCTTCACCACCCTGTCTGTCTAAGACAACACTTTGAAGGAACTATGTACCTGCATTCCTAGGTCTCTCTGTTCGACAGCACTCCATAGGGCCTACCATTAACTGTGTGAGTCCTGCTCTGATTTGTCTTACCAAAACGCAACACCTCACATTCATTCTAATTAAACTCCATTCCTTGGCCCACTGGCCCAGTTGATCAATATTCCGTTGTACTCTTAGATAACCTTCTTCACTGTCTGCTATACCACCAATTTTGGTGTCATCAACAAACCTACTAACTATGCCCCCTATATTCTCATCCAAATTGACTATATAAGTGACAAACAATTGTGGACCCAGCATCAATCTTTACAGCACACCGCAGGCCACAAGCCTTCATAACGAAAACCAACCCTCCACTCCCATCATCTATCTTCTACCGTCAAGCCAATTTTGTATCCAGTTGGCTACCCCTTCCTGAATCCCATGTGATCTAACCTTACTAGCCAACTTTCCTGCTCCCCTGATGCTGCCTGGCCTGCTGTGTTCCTCCAGTTCCACACTGTGTTGTCTCTGACTCTGGCATCTGCAGTTCTTGCTATCTCTTACTAGCCAGTCTGCCATCTGGAACCTTGTTGAAAGCCTTACTAAAGTCCATGCAGACAATGTCTACTGGTCTGCCTTCATCCATCTTCTGGGTCACCTTTCAAAAAACTCAAAAGAGTTTATGAGACATGATTTGCCCACACAAAGCCATGCTGACCATCCCTAATCAGTCCTTACCTTTCCAAATGCATGTAGATTCTGTTTCTTAGAATCCCTCCAACAACTTACCCACCACTGACGTTAGGCTCACCAGTCTGTAGTTCCCTAGCTCTTCCTTGCAGCCTTTCTTAAATAATGGCACAACATTAGCCATCCTCCGTCTTCTAGCACCTCACCCATTGGTGCCAATGATAACATATCTCTGCTAGGGGCCCTGTAATTTCTTCCCTAGCTTCCCACACTATACTGTAAAAATTTACCAACGCTCCAGTTGCATCCAGAAGGACAAGGGCAGCAGATACACAGGAACACCACCACCTGCAAATTTCTCTTTAAGTCAGTCACCATCCTGACTTGAATTAATGTTTTATTGGCATGTGTATTTTACAGTGAGAAAACAGTAAAATACAATGAAAAGCTTTTTCTCACTATCGTCACAATCCAGCGCCATTTTGAATAGCTTTAAGAATAATGAATAGAATATATAGCTTAAATAGAGTCCATCAGTCCTAAGCCAGGTTATCATCAACGATGCCTGCGCCACCATCCCTCACTGCCTCACCTACACTGGACCCAACCAATGTTGAAATTGCCACTCTTCAGGCGTCTTTCACCACTGGGCCAATTCTCCTCTGCCACCAACTTGATGCTACCAGTGCCGGACCAATCAATGTTAGAGTTGCATCTCTCATCTTTGGATGATCCTTGATGTTGCTGTGATGACCTTCTGCCACTGCTTCACCACCACCAGCGCTGGACTCAACCAACGATAAAGTTGCTGATCCTTAGGCGCCATCTTTCAATGCTGGGCCTACCTTACTGACGTTGCCTCCACCGATGTAGCAGCTGCTGATTCCAATGCTAGGTCCCATGCTCTCCCCAGAAAAGTAAGTAGGGGCTCACTTGCCGATGCCACAAGGTCCGCGCTGGGCCCAGTCAAGTCCATGCTGGAGTTTCTTGCCACCACCGATGCTGTCCAAGCTCAGGACAAGAGGTAATTAAAAAGAAAAAACAAAACAAAAGGAAATGAAAGAAAAGCAGTAGGAGCAGACAAGCCCCAACTCAGGAGCCCTACTCTGTTCCCATCTTGATCATCATTTCTTCAGGGTCGCTGGGTCAAAATTGCGGAACTCCCAACCAAACACGTTGTGTCGTAGCTACAATAAATGGGCTGCAGTTCTTCATGAATGCTGTTCACTCCCACTTTCTCAAGGGTAACTACAGATATGTAATAAATACTGGCCCAACAAACAAATCCGGCTTTTATTTTTAATTCATTTGTGGGATGTGGGCATCGCTGGCTGGCCAGCATTCCTTGCCCATCCCTAGTTGCCCTTGAGAAGGTGGTGGTGAGCTGCCTTTTTGAACCGCTGCAGTCCTCC